TGATAACAATTATTTTAATAATAATAGTAACATTGTAAACATTTACTATACTATTAATATTATTATTTATTAATAATAGAACAATAATAATAATAATAATCTGACCAATTGATTAATTTACTAATATTATATTTGTATTATTTTTCTGTGTAAACTATCAATACTATATATTTACTGATTTCCTATAAATAACATTAATATTGTTTTCATAATTAATGAATACATTAATGCCCAATCTGTTTCACATTCATATTACTCACCCAAAATGCAATTTCTAAGCTATTTTCAACGGTAAAAATTCACCAATTCCAGATCCCAGTTGTTTGTGTTTGTTTTTCCCTTACAGTTGCATGTGTGTCTTCTGCAAATTTTTTTTTAATAATTCAGTTGAATTGTACCAAAATGATTCCGCATCATGACAAAATGTTTTAGTTATGAGTCTGTTAGTAATAGAACTGTTAGAGCAGACATCTCCATACCTTCTGATCATTGTTGTAAATATATGGATCTTTCCTCTTTCAGTTGGACGTGAATCAGAACATGCTCCTCCCTGGGGAGAATCGTCTCCGGATGACTATCGCTATGCAAACCAGATATACACCGACCCCCGAGAACGAGAAAAAGAACAACACGACATGAACAAAAGGTGAAAGTCCTGTTCAACCAGTGACCCTTACACACATCGCATTAACACTGCATCCCGAAACTCTAAAGAGGTCCTTCTGATCCACAGAATACTGGACCCCTCCAACTCCTGGCAGTTTGACGACTTCAAGAAGTGTTACGGTGAGATCCTGCACCGATGGGGCATGAAGGACAAGAGGGCAGAGGTGCTCAAATTTGTCTCCTGCCCTCCAGAGCCACACAAAGGCATAGGTAAGTTAAAGAAACAGGGTTCCAAACAGCTTCTGGGACAGACTATCAGACCGCCACAGAAAATGGTTTTATCTCATTACTCAGTTTGTTACAAAAAACAAAAAGTGCATTACAGTGTTTAAGTGTGATGCACTTATAAGAGTGTGTAGAAGTAGATATGTGCATCTTGTGTTGTTGTTAAAGCACTTATAATTATTTTACAGATAATATGAGATGTAAAGATGTTTAAATTGTAGACAGTTCTATAAAAGCAACAAAAAGTGACAAAAAATCCTACCTAAACAGTAACAATAACATTTTTTATTATTATTGTTGTTGTTGTTGTTGTTGTTATTATTTGGTGTATAATTAATACAATTGATATACAATTTATTAGACAATTATTGTTATTTATAAACAATAATTATACTAAAAAGAATTATTATTAATAATAATTATTAGATTAATTATAATAAGAATGATTATAATACTAATTTATTAATATATTAATAATGATTTATAATTCAATAATTATAACAGTAATAATAATAATTGGTGTTTCATTTCTAATAGTTATTAATTATTATGTTGGTTTGCACAAAAATATGAAGCACAACTGTTTTCAACATTGATAATAATAATAATAATAATTGGTATGTAATTAGTACAATTAATAATAACAATTTATCAGATTATTATTGTTTTTGTTATTTATAAATAATAGTAATAATAATTATAATACCTTTATTATTATTACAATGTTATTATTTAATATATTAATAATGATTTATAATTTAATAATTATAACAGTAATAATAATTGGTGTTTCATTTCTAATAGTTATATTAATTATTATGTTGGTTTGCACAAAATATGAAGCACAACTGTTTTCAACATTGATAATAATAATAATAATAATAATAATAATTGGTATGTAATTAGTACAATTAATAATAACAATTTATCAGATTATTATCGTTTTTGTTATTTATAAATAATAGTAATAATAATTATAATACAGTTATTATTATTATCATTACAATGTTATTATTATACCAATTATTTACTAATTGCTTATTTTTTTAATTAATTATATTATTCTTATTATTAATGGTATTAATAATAGTATTATTAATGTTAGAATATAATTGTGATAGTAATAATAATTGTTGTTTTATTATTTATAATATTTATATTAACTATGCACAAAAATCTTAAGCATCACAACTGTTTTCAACATGAATATGAGCAGGAAATCATGTGAAGTCTTGTTATACTTTCTAAACTGTATGCTTTACATTTATTCTGGTGCAACCTTCCTTTGTTTGATCGAATCAAAACTATTTTCTGTGATAATCAATAAGCATTCCTTTAAGGAGCTAAGCATTTGTCTCACATTTCTGGAATGTCGATCAATGTTGAACTCTTGAACAAATGTTTAACACTCACGTTTAAGAGCCTGCATCGTGTCTTTGCTCTGGTACGCAGAGTTTGGCGTTTACTGCTGCCACTGTCGCAGTCAGGCCCGCGGCACCCAGTGCGCCGTCTGCAAGCGCTTCACCTTCCAGTGCGCCATCTGTCACGTGGCTGTACGCGGCTCTTCTAACTTCTGCCTGAGCTGCGGCCACGGAGGACACACCAGTCACATGATGGACTGGTTTCGCTCGCAAGAGGTCTGTCCCACCGGCTGCGGGTGCCACTGCCTGCTGCAAAGCACTTTCTGAACAATAAAAACATCGAGATACGCCTCAAAACTCTTAGTACTGTAGCACCTCCTCGGTAGAGAAACATTGAGGAACATCAGCATCATTCGGGACTGTTCAAGTGTAATGTTCTAACGAGGAGCTGCAAATATCAACCTTATAATAGGTCAAAACCAGCCTATTAAGTGAAATTGTTGTACAGTGCTGTTTGTGCACTTTTATACCTGACTGTTGATTTGAGTAGAGCTTATATTTGCTCTATAAGGTGCCAAGGAAATCGATCTGTGAAACAAAAAAATATTTTTTTCCAAATGTGTATGTTGATCGCCCTTTTCAGTTGAAAAGAAGATTTAAAAAGTTTTGTTTCCCTTCAGAAGAGAATTGTTGTGTTTTGAAGGATTAACAATGTACAGTATGTGTGCCATAAAAATATTAATAAATCTGACAATACAGTGATTATTGCTTCATACGCCATTGCTGGAACTCTCTTTTATGAAATGTGCTCATAAAAGTGAATTAACTGTCATCACTACCTCATAAATAAATTGCATATTGCATTTTTAACTTAACGAATAAAGCAAGTAAGATTGTAACAAACTTGTTTACTATGAATTTCTGTACTGATTATGGTCAACAGCAAATTTTTGAATAGCTTCTTATCATTTTTTCATTATATTAACCCACAGATATCAAGAGTCAAATTGACTTTTCCTCTTTGGGTTTGAGGAAAAGTTTATTTTTTTAATCCTCAAGCATGATTTAAAGGATCTGTGTTGAAGTGCACTTATGAATGTTTTTTGCTAATGCAAGAATGCTCTTTACAGACACGCATCATTCATGACTTTATTATTATACTGTCTTGTGTTTCTTATTCATGCTAGCTCTTATTGATGTCATGCTTGTTTAGTGTGTGTGAAGTGGATTAATATGGACTCTGTCATTGATTTACAGTTAGTGAAGCAGCTGACCTGCCTGCGACCCTTTTCATGCAGCGTCATACAGCGAAACAGCAATATTAAACATCAGGAAGATAATGCTGTTATCCAGACACATGCATATTGAATGGGAATAGATTATATGAACTTTTACCATTATTTGCAAACTGTGTTCAGTGTTTTATCAGTATGTACGAAATGTATATTAGAGCTTCAGACTGGATTTTTTTTTTTTTATCTAGCTTTAATCATCCACGTAGAATGTTTATTTTTAAATGAATAAACCCAGAACATATGCAAATATGTTTGGTAAATAAAAGCAAAGCTTGAATATTGATTTTTCTATACAGAGGGAGGGAAAGACGAAAACACACAGTATGTATTTGGTCACAGTGCAAATATTACACATGTACATGCATTCATAACAATATACTGTAAATGCAAAACAATAAAGAGTACATCACAAACTACAATAAGTATGCACAATAAAAAAGCATTTATGCCATGCATAAATAGCATATTAGCCTGCCAAGATTAGTCATAAATAATGTAGTGTTATATGCTGAGGTAATAAAAGAAGCCAGATATAGAGGAGTTTCTGTTGAAATTATTGATAATAACAGGAAACTGCATGTGCTGTGGGAAAGTCTGCGGAAATTATGCTGAGGAGAGACATTCAAACTTTTATTTTCTCCCATAAAGCAGAGGAAGTGTTTTGAAAAGATGACTCATATTTTAACAGTTATTGATTTCTTGTTCATGCAGGTTCAAATATTCATGTTTGCCATATGAAATCAGCATTTTCAGAAATGAAATAGATAGATCTGTACCAAATTTGTATATTCTCTGACTCTCTCTCTCTATTATACATATTAAAATGATTTATTCTCACCTTGAATTATTATATTATATTATTACGTAACAACAAATAAAATATTTTTCAGGAATAGAATAGACATTAGAATAGACATTATTTACATTAAATTATTTTATTATAATAATTTATAATTATTATATTATATTAACAACAAATATATAATATAACGGCAAATAAAAAAAATTTAAACAAATAAACAAACTTAAAGACTTCAAGATGATAATGCAGATCAAATTATGCCTTATATCTAACACCACAAACAGCAGACAGAATGTTGTGGTTCACATGATTTCAGTAGTAAAATCTTTTTATGGAGTCTACTTGCTAAATCCTCCGCAGTCAGCAGTGAAGTGAGCCCGATCTGATCTCTCTCATCTAGGTTTCTGAGGCGAGCTCGAAATTACTGATCCCACTATGACGAAGGACTAACTAATGAATATTAATTTAGTCTTGCAGACGTTGCTTGGTAACCTTCCTGGAGTGTCCGTTTACTTGACTTAATTAATATTCATAATCCATGCCTTCCTCACAGTAAGATTCGTTTATTGGACAGGTGTTCGAGGCTTATTTACAAACGTCAGTAGTCCAGCCAATCAATAAAGCGTTCTGGGCTCGCGTCACGTGGCGTCATTAATATTCATGAGCAAAGCCTTCGCCGTAGTAGGTTCGTCCGGTCAGCGCGGAGTCTTCAGCAGCGGCAGAGTGAGTGGAGCTCGGTTCAGCTGTTTGTGGTGGAAGATGGCGGCGTGTAGACGTGTTCAGCTGCTGCTGCTCCTCATGTCTCTCTGCATTCTCAGCGTACAGGCTCTTAAACCTCTTCCAGGTTTCGGGAATGTCCATCCTCCGGCTGCCGCCATGCACCAGCAGTTCAGAGCCGCGCTACCGAATCCCGGGAATAACGCCGCCGCCGCCGCGTCCTCCGGTGCTCAGTCTAGAAGATCCACCGGCTGGAAGCTGGCAGAAGAACAGGCCTGCCGGGACGACGTGACCCGGCTGTGTCCAAAACACACCTGGACAAATAACCTGTCTATGCTGGAATGCCTGCAGGACAAGAAGGAGGTGAGCACCCCTAATGATGATTATGATGATGATGAGTGTATATATGATATAGCTAATAATTAAATAATAACAGCAACAGTAAAAATAATATATAACAATTTTAATAATTAACTTTATTTATAATTTATATATTTCATGTATAATTTTATATGCATAAATGTATTATTTATTTATAATAATTATATTAATCGATATAATTAATATTTATAATTATAATATTTTAATTTAAAATAATTAATTTAATTAACGTATTATGTAAATAATTTATTACTTTAAATAATAATAGTATTTATTATTGTTATATAATTTTATGTATTATTGATGATAATAATACAATTTGTTATTTTTATTATTGTTGTTGTTGTTGTTTTTATTATTATTACTACTAGTACTATTATTATTTTAAATTTGAACTCAGGGTGGGTACTTTTACTTCCTTTTATTTGGCTTTGTGAATTTCAGACTGATAAGTGAAGTAGAGAAGATACAAGCTTTCCAGATCTAAACTATATTGAAACTTGTCAGTTTAATTATTATCTATGTATCTATTCATTTTATAGCTGAATTTAAGACAGTTGTTCCATGGAGGTCTATAATAGCCCACCTGATTGAAGCTATTTTAGCATTCCTGTTGATCTTAATTTCGGTTTGTCAGGTCTGCTGCCAGATTGTTTTCAGCCAATCATTTGAGCTGTAAATACCATGTGACTAATTGCTGTGGAGCTGCAGGAAAATGACATGGGGGTCTATAATAGCCCACCTGATTGAAGCTATTTTAGCATTCCTGTTGATCTTAATTTCGGTTTGTCAGGTCTGCTGCCAGATTGTTTTCAGCCAATCATTTGAGCTGTAAATACCATGTGACTAATTGCTGTGGAGCTGCAGGAAAATGACATCTTGATGATGATGATTGGCTTTCACAAGCTTGACTAGAGTCAGCTTTGTCATGGAGTCTTTAATTGCAGGTGCATACGCTTGACCACAGCATCTGAATTTATAAGCATGCAAACGTTCTTATTTTTCTCTGGCTTTTATACAGCCGTACAAGCACAGACCTTTAATATGGATTGGACTAATTTAAGAACAAGCTTAAAATCTTCTAACTAGATTTGTCTTTTGTAGTTTTCTGTGCCGTGCTGGTTGACACAGTGACCTAGTTGTGCGGATGAGGAAATTATTATAGGAGTAACTTTTGTTCAGACACAGCAGATGCCCTGTGAGAATTTTAATTTTTAGAATAAAATTTGATCAGCATGATCAAACTCTTTCAAATAAACCAATAAAAGTAAAAAAAAAAAAAAAAAAAGTCCATCTACACTGAAAAAAATGATTCATTGAATTGACTAAATTTTTTTAAGATAAGTGGTTGCAATCTACATTTAAATAAACAAATTTAGTCGACTAACTTTCAACATTTTTTTTTAAATGTAGCCAAAAATTTATTGTTTGCAACCAGGTACCTTAAAAAATATTTTATAAATTCAATGAATCATTTTTTTCAGTGTAATATGTTCAAAAATCCAACTAATAATCAAACAAAAGAAGAACTTTTAAACACTTTTGAAGGTCTCAGTGAGTGCCTAGCACCAAAAATGAGTGCTTTTCTGAAGTTTTTTTGTGTAATAAACAGACTAAACCAATAATATTTCACTGAAAATCGGCTACTACACATGCAAAAACCAATAGTTTATGACACTTGTCATTGACGTGTTTTGATGCAATGTATTTGAATATATGCAAATTAATTTGAATTCGAGAGCTACTTTCTCAGTGGGTAATATCTTTACACTTTACACAGTCTTTGCACAAACTATATTTGGCTGCTCGCCTGTAATATAGTGCACAAGTCAGACTTACTTACTGCTACTACTACTTTTAATGTTCTTTACTGATAATATTTGGAGTTGGAGTTTGAAGTCCCTGGTTACTAAAAATGCAGCGCATGCATCTTTCTCATTTGTGTTCCACAGAAACAAGAAAGTCTGGCTTTATCTGTGCAGTAGATCGAAAATGTGTATGCATATTAAACATGAGCCATATTTCTTAAAGATTTGTTTTCTGCTGTTTTGAGCTGCTCCTCCCTGACTTCTTGGCTCTGTTGGTGAACCACTTTTCATCTGGCAAATACAAGGGCCAAGGTTCATTTGCAGCTAGACACAAATTAATTTAGGCTGAAAAACATCTTAGAGCAGCAGTTTTCTCTACTAGACTTTCACAACCTCTTGAGCTTCTGTTTAAATGTCTCTTATATCAGAGTCTCTCCCACAGTATGTTAAAATCGAGCTCTCATTACAGTCACAGCTTTAAACCCGTATTGATGGCACTATGCCTCTCTCTCTCTCTCTCTCTCTCTCTCTCCAGTAACTCACAGACTCAGGCCTCTCATTAGTGTGAAGCGAGGTCTTGCTCTCTGGTCCGTGATAACTCATTTCAACACCTGAGGGACATTTCAGATAGCGGTCTGTCTGAAACACGACTATTATGTGTGTCCCATTTAGGGTGTCAAATCTTTGTTTCGTTAGCCTTGAAATGCAATTGGATGTACGCTTCGAGTTCATTTCTTTTTAATCATCCATTCCTGCCTCTGAAAAGTAAAATGAGGGTGGCTGAATGTCTTGCTCTGATGTATTCGGTGGTAATATGCTGGTATTAATTGGTCTAAATGCTGTCTAAAATGAGCAGTATGCGCACTTGGTGTGTAGCTTGCAGAGAATCTCTGAAATAGTTTCAAATAATTTCAAATGAAGGAAAATACCCTTCATAAGTCCACAAATGACAGTGATGAACCTACATTTACAAAAAAATGTTCTTTGGACATAGTGTCTATATATAGAATTTGATCGTGGTAATATATATGTATAGTATTTATTTATTTATTTAATTAATTAATTAATTTAATTTTTGGTGGTGATTGGAATGCATATTTAAACAAGTGTCCAAATACAGTATGCACACACACACACACACACACACACTGCTTTTTATTTATTTATTTTTCAGAATTGCAATACTTTTTTGGACAAGTATCATGGTAGTATATATATGCATAGTGCTAATTTTATTTTTAATAAAATTGTTTCGGAGGATTGCAGTATGTTTTTTGGACAAGTAATGTAGTATTATAGTATTTATTTAACTTTTATTCTGTTTGGGGGGGGGGTTGCAATACATTTTTGGACAAGTATCGTGACATTATATGTAATTTATATATATAGTATTTATTTATTTTATTTGACTTGGGAGGTTTGCAATACATTTTTGACAAATAGCATGGTAATATGTATAGTATTTATTTATTTTGATTAAACTTTTTGGGAGGATTGCAGTAATTTTTTGGACAAGTATCATGGTATTATATATGTGTAGTATTTATTAAAATTTTATTTTATTTAAAAAAATTTTGTGGGGGGTGTTGCAATACATTTTTGGACAAGTATAGCTGTAATATATATGAATAGTATTTATTTATTTTTTATTACATTTTTAGGTGGATTGCAATACATTTTCGGACAAGTAGTATGTATAATATTTATTTATTTATTTATTTATTTGGAATTGCAATAGTTACAAGTAACTTAATATATAAGTATAATATGCATAGTAATCATACAATGCAATGCTATATATGCAGAGAATCCACTACAAGCTTTCAAGCCAATAGCAACCCATTGGTTTTGGCAGTGTCAGAAGATAGAAGATGATAATTATGCTAGCATGAATGAAACATCAAGACAAGCTGTATACTCGTCTCGCAGTCTCTCCTCCTGCACCGCATGCCAAGTTCATTTGCCCGCGAACGGTTGCTTCAGCAGTCCTGACCGTGGCTCTAATTATTGGGATAATTGCTTTGCAGAGGCTCGGTAACAGCTGTGGCCTTCTGAAGAGGTAAATGATGTCCATAAATCTCTTCTCCATCTCCCTGAGGTCAGACCCCTCCGGGCCGCTCGAAGGCGGGAGGTAAGGTGGTCGTGGCACAGCTGCAGCACGTCTGTCTTACTTTAATTTGCATTTTTTAGCAGGTTCCTCTACTGGTGGGACGCCGCGGTGGGTTTGTTGTAAACAAAGCAGCTAGCGTGACTGATATGAGACCCTCCCGCGGGGATTCGGGGCTGAGATCCTGATAAAGTAAACCAAAGAGCTTAGCTCTTAATCAAACATTTGTTTGATGTAACAGAATTGAGTGAATAAGGCAGATAAGCTATTGTGTCTGCATTTTTCAGACTAAACATAAGATACCATGTTTTTTGTTTGTGTATGTTTTTGTCGGCTGTAAAGCTGTTAGTGTGGAAATATCAGTCTGAGACTCTAATGAATCTAAAATGAAGTGGAATGAACTCATTTGGTGCACTGCTGAGGGGGAGACCGCATGTTTTATGGCTTTGACAGCTCTTTAAGACACCATAGCGTGATGTTGGTAGATGGTTACTTATTTAGATAAAAAGTAATGTGTTAACTGAAAAGAAAGGAGTAAGTTATAACTAAAAATTACAAAGGAAAAAAAAAGAAATTATATTTTGTGTAAGAAAAGGATGCCTGTTTTGTGACCAATATGACATTATTTTCATGTCAATTAAATGTTTTCTGATTTCTCATTAATGCTTATGTGCAAGTTTATTGTATTTAATTATTATTCTCAATTGTGATTCTTAATAGATTTTCATTTCTCTAATTCAGTATTTTTTATTTAAATCAGCCTAAATAAAGGCAATATAACAAATACTATCCTAATGTATTACAAATATTTTGCCTTTTTTTTTTTAAAGGGGTCATATGATGCGATTTCATTTTTTCCTTTCTCTTTAGAGTGTTACAAGCTCTTGGTGCATAAAGAAGATCTGTAAAGTTGCAAAGACTAAAGTCTCAAATCCAAAGAGATATTCTTTATAAAAGTTAAGAGCTTTTCAGACCGATTAGTTTTGTAAAAATCGACGCGTTTCAAAAAGGCGGGGCATAGAGGAGAAACAATAATGTACAGTATGTGGAAAATAATGTGGTTTTTT